CAGCTGCTCACTCTACTGAATTTTACAACGCTTCTCTGGCAAAGTTTATCTTTACTCCTCTGTTGGTGCCAGATGGAAATCTTAATTATTGATGGTATTAATTATTAGGTATTTAAGTTGTTGCTAGTTCTGCTTTATTTCCTTGTTAATTGTTTTAGCACCAATACACCAAGTCAAATTCCTCGTATGTGTGAATGTACTAGGCAATAAACCCAGATTCTGATTCTGATTAAAAAATACCAAAGAGACAAAATTATTAGAATTATTTGTTTACATTATTGTTTATTTGGGCTGATTTTGGTTTTAGCTTTTGTAAATTGATTTGGGGTATTCGTGCCTCCCTCTTTGGAGCAGGGCCGCTTCGTATCGGCTGGATTATTTAAGGAGTTTAAGGACACCTGGGGGAGAGTGGTGAGAGTGTGGAGCGGGACAGTTTTTTGACTGCAAACGGCAGCTAAAATGATATGACAGCGAACCTGATTTGTTATCTTCATTTTGTCAAGTTGAATTTTTTATTAAAGTTGTTTATTAATGAATTCCTGAGTTAACTTTAGATCCGCGGCTGCTTTCTGTTTTTTTTGATAGCGTGTGTTAAATCCGCTCAGCAGTGGCTTACCTGGAAGTTATAAACAAACATTAGAAGTCACACCCATTACCTACTGGCCTGGCATGTATACTACACTTCTGATGTACCAGAGACGTTGAATTTCTTAAAGTTTTAAAGTTTTGTGTATCTGTAGGATGCTGAAGTAGTCTCTCAAAGACCTGCACGTAGCCTGCACACAAACACAACCTGCACGCACTCAGACATATGCTATTCCAAAGATAGAGTCAGGTATAAGGAGCACATTCACAGGGCAGTCTCATCACGAGCTGTGATATCAAACACTTTGGCTTCATTACTGGGTCTGACGCTTGCTGCAGATTTAATGGGAGACCATTTTGTGGGGGGAAAACAGAGTAAATGGAGAGTGTGCCGGGGTAATTTCAGGAGTGGCTCCGGGAGCGGGCTGACATTGCAGTAAAGGGGATGAGGTATAGAGCGAGCCCCGGGGTGCCTGGCAGCTCCTCAATAGAAGTGTCAGACTGACTTACAGGAGAGGCTTTACTGCCAGTCTGACTGAGACGACGTCGACGCTCCATCGAGGAAGCACAAGAAGCACAGATGTACTTCACGTCTGCCAAGTGTGACAATGACAGCCACCACACTCTGTGGCTCTCTCGTGCGCACACACACACACACACACACACACACACACACACACACACCAGGAAAAGACTGCCCTTGTGAGAGCTTTTTATTTGCTACATTTTTCACAAGGAGGAGCCCTAAACTTAAAACCATAAAAGAAAGGACAAAGTCATGGACTGTAAAGCTCTATCTCTGCATGTTTATCATGAATGTATGTCCTCTAATCAGCATGCTTTCCAGGGCTCTTTATATGTTGTTAGACGACTCTCTTTAACACAATAACCACGCTCAACACAAACACAAACACCATAACGTCAAAAAGATAAATACTTAAGCCTGAACTGCTGCACATGCACAAGAAACACAGAGGTCACCTTCGTCTGGTGACATGTGGAACGAGACTGCAGCAGCGTCAGTATTCACATGAAACGACACGAGCTGCTGTCTGACTGAAGGTGCAGTGCAGATATGCATGTATGTGACGGTATGTGAAAGATGCTCTGTCATGCCTTATTGTTTAACAATGTTACAATTCACTAAGCAGATGTTGCTGTTCTTATCATGTTTTAATGTCACTTACTATTAGACGTTAGAAAATGAAGATGTAATCGACTTCAGGGGAAACACGTGGAGGTGAACGACAAATACATTGGGAACAAAGGATGAGAAAGCAAAAAGTGCAGAGGAAAAGGTTAGAGGAAAAAGATCTTATTTGTGCTGCACGAAATGATTCAGGATCCCACACAGATTATTCTAAAACATTTTTACTTATATGTGATGATGTACCATAATAAAAAAACCTGCTGCAGGTGGCTGGACTCAGTTTGTTACATGAGGTCTTCATGTTTTCCTTAAAGTTAGTAATACAGTGCAGGCTGTGTCTCTGCAGACACTTAAATGACTCAGCTGCTTCAGTCATGTCTGTCCTGAGAGGTCAACACACTTCACCTAGTTCATGACCAAATCCGCATCTGCTGTAACTGAACGCACCTGGGGAAACTGGCACTGATTTTTGTAAGGGTTGACTCTGCATACAAATTATCTTGATTTGGAAATCCACGTTTTTGCTATCCAGGATCAGACGATCAAGTTTACTTTTGATTTGTTTTGTTCTCTCCAAAAAAACTAGATTGTATCACCCTGATTCAAATACAGACGCTTAAGGATGACCTCATCATCAGCTCTACTCAGACTGCTGTTTCAAGGTGTGATATTTCAACCCTGTGACCTGTTGACTTCAATCTGAATGTCGCTGTGGTGTAATGGCGGACCAAGTGACCCCTCCCCTTTCTGTACTGTCTTCAGAGACATATATACAAAGACGTAATCATGGCTGAGCTTAGTTACAGCACTTTTGTGGAAACACAGTCTGAAAGGGTCTATCATTATCAGTGACCTAAACAGGACTACATTGTAAATACTTTGCCCACAGGGGGCGCCAAAATCCAATCAGAAAAGATCTTAATTTGCTTTAAAGTAAATACATAGCCTAATGTTTGACCTTCATTACATTTTGTGAAATATTTTATCCGGGCCAAATCCTTAATTTCTACAACCCTAATTAAATTATACTTTCACTTGAACATAAAACAAAAATATGAAGTATCAACTACCTTTAAAAAATGTTTTGTTGTATGACCAGTTTAAAAGTTTTAATTCCATTTAGTTCCTGTCATCCAGTCTGAATCCAGCACTCAGCTGGAATCAGGACAATGATGACTTTTTCTATTTAAAGTTTCCTCAAACCTCAAAAGTTTTGAACAACATGAAATAAAGATTTACATTTAAAAATGTAATGTTCATGTAGATGAAAATTGAAGGTCAGTAACAGGATTTAGCTCAAGTGAAGGCCCTTTGTCAGTCAAATCAAACAGGGTCATTATTATTATACCTAATTACACAAAATCTTTAAATTAAATCAAAACATACTCTGGCTGTCTCTGTGGGTGTGGTGTTCCAGTTACACTCTGTGGCTCCCTCTGGATTGAGCTTCATTCCATTCACCTGCTCAAACCTGCACACCAGCTCTCCATCTCCTCATCAACTCAGCAGTATATACACCCCGGCTCTCCATCTCCTCATCAACTCAGCAGTATATACACCCCGGCTCTCCATCTCCTCATCAACTCAGCAGTATATACACCCCGGCTCTCCATCTCCTCATCAACTCAGCAGTATATATACCCCGGCTCTCCATCCACCCGTCGCCAGATCGTTGTGTCAACTACTGCGGTAGACGGCGGCTCAGGCTAATTAAGATTTTGAAAGATTTTTTAAAAATAATTTCTTGTGCTGGTTTTGTTTTTGAGTCTCATCCTGTTTTTTTCCCTTTGCTTGAGGCTTACCATTCACTCACCTGCCTTCCTGCTCAGCCATCTGCCTCAACCTGCTCTCTGGACTCAAAACCACTCAGCCACCCTCACACCCCTACTCTGCTGTGGTCGGCCATCATCCCCTTCACTCTGCCAACCTGCAACCCATCTTCATCTCCATTTGCTACAATAAACCTCATTACCAATCAACCCCTCTGTTTATGTGTTCTGCATCTGGGTCCTAAATTCACTGGTCGTAACATATAGAGACAAAACTGTTTCTTAAACCAGGCTGTAAACATGTTTTATTTATGATGTTAAAAAATAGGGATATCATTGGATGTAATGGGGATTCCTTTGCTTTTGCAGAAGCCTCAAGTGGACACTTGAGTTGTCACATGGTTTTTGTGTATACACTATTTTTGTTCTGTTTGTATTATGTGTTTTTTCCTACCTTATACCTGCTTGAATAACAGAATAAACCGTTTTAGCTGTGAGCAAAGTTGAACCTTTACGCTCATGCTTTCCCAGAAGAATGCTTTTAGAGAACAGCACAATGTAATTTAGCCGTTTACGTATTATTTTTTTTTACCCTTGGTTGGTTTTAAATCAAACTGTTCTGATTGTTTTTTTTTTTTTTTTTACAAAATGTAAATGATCCTTCTTGTTCATATCACAAGATTGTTATTACCCTCATTCTCCCCACAGTCCAGGTGCCACTTTCACTTTCCTGTATCAGACCCTAACACAGCGCTGTGATTAATAAACAGCCGAGCCGCGGAGGGGAAAGTCCAGGAAATGGTGCAGGTTCAGACTATAAGCCTTTGTTCCCCTGAAGGCCAAAACATCATAGTTATTGTCTTTTAATGGAGTTAACCAAACTCTGCCTGACTTTAGCCATTTGACAAACACACTAAAAGCACAAATCCCCTGAAGATATGTTGAGGAAAAAAGAAAAAAACGTACGATAGTTTTAGTAAAAGCATGAAAAGTTAACTGATCAATGTCTCAGTATAGAAAATAGATGAAATTATTACACTTAGGAACCCTGCTTGTGGTTCTACTGAGCTTCTTTCAGCTCACTTGCGTGGTTTTACAGCCCACATCTTAACAGTTCAAAGTCACCTTTTGTTTTCTAGCAGCAACACAAAGCTGTATGCTGTCTGCTTAGCGCCAAACAACACACAGGCAAAGTTAGAGAAGGACTGGTGAACAGAGACATTTTGCATTTTCCATCCATCCATTTTCTTCTGCTTATCTGAGGTCGGGTCGCGGTGATATCAGGTATAGTAAGTCAACCCAGATAGGCTTGAAATGAGCCAACCACTGCCAGTGTTTCAAAGGACACACGTGAAAAAAAACCTTTAATTGAAGTGAATGTTCATTAATTATTTGGGACGATCACATTTCAACTTGTGATATTAAAATTAAAATGTTTCCCAAATGTTTACATGTATACATCAGGAGTAACAGTTTGTTGGAAACACTGCTGATAAATGACCAGTCTCATCATCCATTGTGGCTATTTGTGTTCATATTGTGGCTTTTGCTTTGCTGTTGTTGTGGTGTTTGTGATTGTCTTTTCCATTAATGCAGGTGTTGTTTTTCCTCTGAGCAAAGCATGCTGGATTTGCAATTTATCGGACACCTCCAAGCCACCATACCTTAGAGCCAGCTAAAGCAATCTACCAGGGAAAGTCTGAAACTAAAATGTCTCCTTTAGTCATCAAAATGTTCAAAATTTAAAACAACAACAACAACAACATAAAGTACCCTTAAGCAGGGACTTATGTAGGCAGAGTTAGGAAGGTGCCATTGTTCACACACAGGTAGGTGGAAGGACGAGAAACAAAAGCTTCAATTGATCATCTGTTCTAATGTCACTCAGTTTATCAGTGAAGTGTGTGAACAACACGGCAGACTGAAATCTCAAACAGCTCTAAAGTGCGTGGAGTGTGTGTGTGTGTATATATATATATATATATATATATATATATATATATATATATCTGTATCAGCCGCTGCCTGCACCAGCACGGCTCTGTTTATTAAAAACTATAAATGATACACAGGCCATAGGCCACGTGTGAACTCTCAGTGTAAAGTTTGTAGTCTGTTGAAGTGTAAAATGTAAAAAATAATGAACTTTCAAACTAATTAAGAAAATGTGAATTTTTCAGAGTGGAGAGTATGATGTCATCATATAGCGTGACTTCTCTCTGCACACCGAACTCACTCTTAAATCCTTAACTACTCAGAACTGTACAAAACCAGTACTGTTTCTGCTGTCATGTCATTACTGAGCTCATCTGCTGTCTTTATCTGACAGCAGATGTGATTTTTTTTACGAGTCACAGAGGAAGCAGAAGTGTGAATTTGAGCTATTCTTCCTCCTGACCACAACGTCCTGTGAGCTTCTGTCTTAACTCTCCGACTCACCTGTGAAGACTGTTTCACAGCTAAAGTCAACATGCAGGATTTAACTGAACATGTCACAGACTTTTCTACCACTGCATGACAAACAGCCTGCAGTTTAACTGAGGCTTAACTTGTATACATTTAACCAAACATTTTTGTGATTTTTTTTTATGCTTTTATTGGAGAGACAGGACAGTGAGTCATACATCAGGGGGAGGGAGAGCAGGGAAAGGAGCCACAGGTCGGATTTGAACCTGGGCCGCCCGCTTTCAAGGACTTCAGCCTCTGTACTGTACATGGGGCGCATTCACTAAAACCAATAGGCTGCAGACGCCCCTTAACTCAACTTCCTGCAGACCCCAGCTGTGCAGCATCAAGAGCACTTCCTCTTTCATGATAAACAGAGAGAGAAGAAAGTGTAATCTTGGATCAAAAATAACAAGTGTTGCTGCTTTCGTCCTACACACACACACACACACACACACACACACACACACACACAGAAATAGAAATCAAGCACACAGGGCTCATTGGCTTTGTCATTCGCAGCAGGAGGTACAGACTCACGCTGCAGTTGAAAGAACCTTTTGTGTCAGAAATATTTACTTCTTGTATTTCCAACAAAGAGGTAAGCTGCGCTACATTTACATTGCAACATATTTAGTGGTATGTCAATTAGTCCTTTTTTTTAAATGGATTTTCTCGCCATGGCAACAGGCTAAAAGGATGAAGTTTCCGTTCCATGGCTCGTTGGTGTTGGCGTTGATCCTGACTGCAGCGCTAAAGACGCTCGATTCAGACCAGGAGCTGCAGGATAGCGGGTTCGGTCAGCCGCCGCCTCGCCACGGCCTCAAGCTGCTGGTGTGGTACGTCCAAGACTGCCTGGACAACAACATGGTGGCCTTGTGCGATCCCCTCAAAGGAGAGTACGGCTTTCACAAGTTTTTTAATAAAGGGCGCCTGCTTCCACAGATTCGGGACAAAAGGCAGTACACGTACTACACCATCGGAAACCTTAACGCTCCTCATGCCAAGGATCTGCCGTATGATGTCAGGAGGTACTACGACCGAAAGGACCCTGAAAGCAACATGGACAGAGTCTTGGTGAGATACAACAACAACAACAGACGCATTGAGGAGATCTACGCATCTGCACATTACGACCCCGCAGAGACGTACAAAATTGGCCCCAATCTTCTCGCCGCTCTCCGGAGGCAGACAGACCTCATTAGCATAGAAATGTGATGTTCTCCCGATGCAGAATCTCTCTCTGTGACATCTTTAATAGCTCTTTTATTCTTACAGAAGAATCCTGATGGAGTCTCCGACATTTCCTTAAACAATCTTGATTGACATTTTTCATTGCCGTGTGTCTTTGTAAAAGGAATGTGGGGGGGGGGGAGTGCCGTACTACTTAGCTTTTTCAAAGACTTGAGTGAGGAAAGTTTGAGTAAGAGGGTTTGCATTAGTCTGCGAACTTTTCACTCTCCGTGCACCTTGGGTAGTTGGTGAAGTATCTTTTTTCAGATGTGCTGCTTCAGAATTGTTTTTCCTTAACAAATGATGTTTGTGTTGTGTGCATGTGTTTGTGTTTGGTGCGGTGTGTGGAGGAATTACTATTTCCGTATTTCACTTTAAAGACTGATTTGCAAAAAAAGTTTCAGAACCAAAGCCTCAAAGTAAAGAAACGATCACATTTTGACCACATACGGAATCGTCATACTACCATACCAAAATATTTAAAAACTGGAAATATTATACATCAATATTGAAAACCATCATGTAGGTATGTTACAACCTATCCTAAAAAGATTTGATGTGATGCAAAATGTCAATAATGGCTGAAACTGAGGAAAGTCTGTGAGCATCGACTGTTTCCTCTTTTAACCCAAATTTGACTCTGAAGTTTTTTTGAATTGAGTTTATAATGTCTGTTTGTATAGCATCACTATTTCTGTATTTCTTTAAGTCTAATGCTTCTGTTTTAATCCTTAAAGCCGGGGTTGCAAATTCAATACTGTATACTTTGTATTTTACATATGAAGCAAAGCTCATTGAATGTGTCCCTGTTAAATAAAGTCAATAAAAACAGTGACATTGAGACGCCATGTTTCATTGAAAAATAAGTTGTTGATATGACAGCATATTTTGCTTCAAAACCTGTGCAGGTTACCATGATGTACCCCCACATCATCACGGATGCTGGCTTTTGCACTGTTTGCTAATAACAAGCCAGACGGTCCTTCTCCTCTTCAGCCCAAAGAATAGGCTGTCCAGGATTTCAAAAAGAAAGTTACATTTTGACATGTCAGACCTGAGGACAGTTTTCCACTTTGCCTCGGTTCGTTTTAAATGACCCCAGATCCAGTAACGGCGTTTCTGTATACAGTTTATATACAGTTTCCTCTTTGCATGGTTGAGTTTCAGCTTTAGTTTTGTGAATGCAGTGATGACGTGTCCACAGACAATGTCATTTTGGAAGTATTCCTGAGCCTGCAGTGATGTCCTCTACAGACCCCTGTCTGTTTTTAACATCAAAGCCATCCAATAATGATTTTTTTGCCTTGACCTCTGCATTCTTCTTCAGATTTTCTGAATCTTTTAATAATAGTATCTACTGTAGATGTAGATGACAATGTCCACAGATTATTTGCAGTTTCGTGTTAAATAACACGATTTAATATGTTGCACTATTTGCTAGATCAGTCTTTCAAAGAGTGGTTACATGAGTTTGGACATGTTTTCTTTTTGCTATTTTCAATCAACTGGGGTTTCAAGTGCAAAGCACATTTATGTGATCCGTTGCCCCATAGCACCATAGGGCCATTTTTGACCCTGGAGGACAATATATCAATTTTTATTAAGCACTTATACTTCAGTGTAAGTATTGATCATGAAGGTTATAAGTAGTGTGCGTAGTATCCATGCACGTTATAGGAAATTGTAGGAAATTACATGATAGAACCCTAAGGACAACATAAAGGTTAATGTAAGGAGCATAAATAGACACTCTACCACACAAATTGTGAGTATATGCAGTCACTTAAAGGGATACTTCACCTGTTGAAACATGAATCTCTATTGACATTGGGTCATATACAGTATGTAGTAGAAATGTGAAAAATTTGAAGTTGGTGCCTTCTTGACCGAGAAAAGGCAGAAAGTGTATTTTTTGGCTCATGTGGATGAAAGACAACAACTCCCAGAATGCACAGCACCGCAGGCCACTCTCACTAAGGTCTATTTACAGACATATTTACTACAACACATACGGCCGTTTCCTCAACTGATTCCGAGATTTCTTCCAGAAGGAATTAGCATCTTGGAAATTTCTGGCAGAAAACAGACTCTATGTCTGAGTCCATAAGCAAACAGTGAGAGCACCGACACTACCAGTCCGCCCCAGCTCGAGCCGGCCCGGGCTCCTCGTCCTCACCACCGCCAACAGGCAGGCCTTATGTCTCGGCTGCAGCAGCAGCAACAGTCGATGCATAAGACCGGCCTGTTGGCAGCAGCCGCCTCACCGCTATATTGCGGCTCGTAGAGAGCACAAGACCTTCAAAATCCCCTTCATCCCTTCACTACTTTTAGCATAGCTTCCAAGCAATATGGCGGACATTAAGTTTAGATTCTGGGAGTGAGGTCCCACCCACTGATCTGTGATAGGTCTGTAGCTTAAGTGGTCGAAAATATGATGAACGAGCGTTGAAGTTTCACCCCCTCTAGCCACAGCAGCCGCTGATGACGCAAAATTACGATTTTTGCGTCATCGGAGGCTCCTTTTCAAACTTTTCAAACTTAAAATTTTCACAGATATCCTGTGTCAGGGGAATGAGGGCGGGATGCAGGACCATTCAAAAATACTACCAGGTTTCTAATGATACTAAGTTTAATGCAAATGTGTGAAGTGTAAAATGTTAAGTTGGCATTGAAATAACTATCTGCAGATAATACAACTGTACGATGCACTATGAATGTTTGCAAAGGTTTTTCTGCGGTCTGCTATTTACGAGCAAAAGCAGAAGCCAAAGTGTGAAATTCAACCGTTCCTCCTCCCGGGCCAAAAAGCCTCGACCTAACTCTCACAGCCTCCTGTCACAGTTTAAATACTGCAGGTGTCCATAATAAGTCGGTCTTTATGCACACAAGAGTTTTTATACCCCCACTTCACTACTGCCAACATCACATTCATGGTCATTTCAAGCTGAGGCTTAACTTGTCTAAATTAAAACCGAGCTCTCTGCTGACTCCAGCTTTACCACATCATGAGCACTTCCTCTTCCATCGTAAACAGTGTGAAAAAAAAGGAGCTTTGTGTCAGTTAAAAAAAAAAAAACAAGTGTGATGCTTTCATCCTACACACACATGACACAGAACGACATCGAGCACAGTACTCATCAGGTCTCCTCTCCAGCAGGAAGTACTGACTGAAGCTTCGGTTGCAGGAATATTTTTTGATTCAACTGTCACAGAAATATATTTGCTCCTCAGAGGTAAGTTTGGCGAGGATTAAGTTATTCACTGTAATGTGTGTTTCAGACTGGCCTATGTGACGGCTCGGGCGTGTGCCGTCATGGTATTCACACAGGCTGCATGTAGGATGGTTTCCTTGCTGTCAGCACTCTTTTCTTTATAGAGTTTACCTCAATAAAGACCAAACACATTTACATATATTTTGTTTAATTCCTTGGTTTTATAAATGTCAAAGTTTCTGTACAGGGAAGGGCAAACAAAGGTTTGTTATAGGGCTTTCACACTTGCAGAAAACTCCTGAAAAACTCCGGGAGGGGCCGCATATGTGAACACAAACAGCCGATTGATTCGCTCGGACTTCACCCAGAGTATTTTTAGTATACTGCTATTTTTCCGCAGCAAGTTCGAGTGAGCTGATGTGAGAACACAGCAGAATATTCTGCAGAGAATTCACCTTGAGCCAATAGGAGAAGGAGTTACGTTTATCTCCTGTGACTGCTGCACGCTGATCTCCGTTAATTAAACAACTGAATTAAGTTTTCTGTTTGTCGGTATGTTGTTCTCCGCTCTTTTGTTGTCGTCATCATTCTGTTGAACTATATGCAGCATTGATATAAAGGCAAATATTCTCATTATAGGGTCGTATAGCAGACTCTGTTGCTTTGCCCGCTACTTCCGCGTTGTTTTTTTTACATTGCGTTTTAACTTAGGAGCAGTGTGCTGTTTTTATAGGTGGTTTTAAATGTCTCTGTGGGGGCTGGGCCAATCAGAAAAACACCTTGTTAACATAAAAAAAGGGTTCTTACTTTACATAAACAGCACAAACAACTGTAGAGACACAGACAGAGGGAGGAGGACAAAAAGAGGAAGATGGAGGGAGATAAAGAGATATAAATAGATATAATCTGTTACCCGATTTTCTTACTAACAAAAATCTACATAATGGATTTATTTGGGTTTTGGGTATCTTTTAGTTTTTGGGGATATTTACATGATTACTTGAGAATAGATTATCTTCTGAATGTTTGCAGACAGAGAAACACCCAAGTGACACATTTTGCTCAAGATATTGTGGTTGGTGTTTTTCTAAACAGGATTGATGAAGTGATGAAGACCTTGTTCCATCTCACCTTGGTGCTTTTGGTCGCTCTGACTGCAGCTCAACAGATTCCCACCCTCGATTCAGACCAGTCGCTGCAGAACAGCGGGTTTGGACAACCACATCCGCCTCACCACGGCCTCCAGCTGTTGCAGTGGTACGTCAAAGACTGCCTGGACAACAACATGAAGGCCTTGTGTGATCCCCTCAAAGGAGTGTACGGCTTTCACAAGTTTCGTAATAGAGAGCGTGTATTTCCACAGATTCAGGACAAAGGGCAGTACATGTACTACACCATCGGAAACCTTAACGCTCCTCATGCCGAGAATCTGCCGCTTCGCGTCAAGAGGTACTACAACCAAAGTGACAGTGAAAGCAACCAGGACAGACTTGTGGTGAAATACAACAAAAACAACAGACGCATCGAGGAGATCTACGCAACTGCACATTATAAGGCTAGTAACACGTACAAAATTGGCCCCAATCTTACCGATGCTCTCCGGAGGCAGACAGCCCTCAATGACAAAGAAATCTGATGTTCTCCTGATGCAGAATCTCTCCATGACATCTTTATCTTTACCCAATCTTCTTGTCTCTTATTATTTGGGTTTTTATTGCCATTGTTCTTTGTTACATCCACTTTGTGGTCGTTGAGCTTGTAGGTTTTCAGCATCAGTCGCTGCTTCTGTCTGACAGTAATTAGAGATTTTGCCAGGCAACTTTCAGCTCAATTTCTCTTTTCAATGCTCTATTAGATGTTTGTCTCATCGGCTATAGAGCTGTGATGACTGCTTGGACTCCATGTAAACAAAAAAATATGGTGGATTATTATTATCTATTATTTTAAGCTGTGCATTTAATTATCTTTTTTTTATGTCTTATCCATGACTTGTAACATAAAAATATGAGTTTAATGGCACCTGGAACAGACTCTTTATTTATTATTCTTTTACACATTTGTTTAATTTCTTCATTCAACTTAGCCACTCCCTCTCTACCATGTCAACCTTCTCCCTGCTCTGGTGATCAGCTGATATGGGGCGTTTACTCTTTAAGTATTAATCCAACCAGATTCGGGCACAACCTCTCTCCATCAATCATCCTGACGCGGTCAGATTTTTAAATTCTCTCTCTTCCACAGTCAGTTTGTCATTTCAGTGCGATCTCTGCGACCGTCCTCCTCCGCCCCGATCACCTCCAGTCCAGCTCAGCAGAGTCAGATACAGCCTCAGAAACCCACTCCTCATCACATCCTGCTTTCTTCTATCACCACCAGGGTCTAGACTCCATGGGGGGAGGGGGGTATCCTATCCTGCTGTCGGCTTGTTACCCCTCAGAGTGCATGAAGTCATCATGACAGAGTCTAATCCCCAAAGACTTTGCACATTTATCTTTTCCTAAACTGTTAAAAAAATGATTGTAAACTCTCACTTAGTCTCTCCTGATAGAAATGGTTTTGGTTTTCAACAATATTGTAAATTGGGTCTACCATATCACAATGTACTTCTGCCAGAAACTTCTTTTG